CACAAGGACACTAAAGGCAGAACAAAAAGTTCATTTTAATTTCCTAACATCCAGAGCAAAAAGTAGCACGATTGTTCCAAAAACTAAAACCTGAATAATATTTCTCCTATGGTTTTTCAAAAAAGGATAGTGTTTTGAGGTCAAATATATATAAAGTGAAATTCATGTTTCTGCTCCTTTGATTCCCCACAATTCACTCCAAAACAGAAAGTCAAACTGGAGTTCTTGAAGAGCCAAATTCCTTAAGAAAGAAAATAAATGGTATAGTCTGATATAAATCAAACAACTAAGTCTTTGAGATGTCAACTGGTTTTACCATGTTTCTTTAATTGTTAATGAGATCCAAGGATATTCATTCAGAATCTTTTCTTGCTCCAAGGATATGTGTGTTTATTGGGGGGGGAATATAGCTAATATCACTTCTTTCCTGAGTTTCAACCCCACATGTTTCTTTCATTCTATAGAGTATCTCATTCCACCACAGACTGATTATTCCATCAATCGTACTGTGCTGTGCACCAACTCCATTCTTTTATTCCCACCAAATAAACTGTGGTTGGAATTTTAGGTAGAAAATGGCTCACATTTCTGGGCAGCATTATGAATAATCACCAAGCTTCTTTCCCAAACCTTGGCTCATCACTTTTCACCTTCAGGAATCTTAACATTGCTTCCAATTTAAAATGGCAAAGAAATGTTGCTTTTTTTTCCCCTCCAACTACATTCACTTTATAGATTGAGCAGCTTGAGAGTAAAGATGTGGTCTTGGTTTGAACTTTGTCCTCTACACTCAAAGGATTGGGAGGGCAGATATTTATTTGCCTTAATCTTTTGAAGATGTTAAATCATTTTCAAGTTACCAGATACAAATTTTTTGCCTTACCCAGAGAGTAATAGTAAGGTCTAGTTGAAACACTCAGGGTATCTTCCCTTAAAAATAAATGGGTAGATAGCACCATGTTCAAGGAATAAGGTACAATCATTCTCTTGTGTGTGTGTGTGTGTGTGTGTGTGTGTGTGTGTGTGTGTCTGTGTGTGTATGTGTGTGTATGTGTGTGTGTGTTTATAGGGAGGTATTAAAGGAAGAAGCTTGGGTTTTGTGTTCACATGGTGTCAAATACTGAAGACAAACCTGTCCTCTCACTCAGTGGTCAGCGTGTTTTTAGGAATTACTATCTACAAAACCAGTGCAGAATGTTTGAGGCAGACAAAACTTGTGCCAATACCCTAAAAGCAGGTTATAATAGAAACTGTACCTTCAGGTTTCAAATACAGTCCACCCAGAGAAGGTGCTTTACATGCTTTCAGAATGTTCCTTACTCCAGGAGGATAGTCGTTAATCATGTTGGCCACTGTATACACAGTGTTCTTATGACATCTGCATCTCTCCGATGAACCATCCAAGCCATGCGAGACTGCTTTCAGAACTTCTACATATTCAGCAGTCACTCTAAGATGTGTTAGTGCCTAAATTTCTCTTTCAAATGCATCAGCATTTAAATACTGGTAAATGTGAGATGATTAATGTCCTCTTTAAAAAGGAGGTATTCTTTGCCAGGCCATTGTGGATCAGTGGTTGAGTGGTGACTTATGAGCCCAATCAGGGCATATGCCCAGGTTGCTGGCTCTATCCCTGGTAAGAGATCCATGTTGTCCCAAATGACAGTATTTCATCTTTTCTGATGGTGAGTAGTATTCCACAGTGTATATGTACTGCATCTTCTTTATCCAATCATTTATCGAAAGACACTTACTTCAGTTATTTCCATGCCTTGCCCACCATGAATAATGCTGCAATTAACATAGGGCTACATATATCCTTACAAGTAAATGTTTTCAAGTTTTTGGGGTAGACATGCAAAGGAGGGATTGTTGGGTCATATGATAACTCTATTCTTAATTTTCTGAGGAAACTCCATATTATTTTCCATAGTGGCTGCCAAATATATGGTGAATAAAAATGCTTTGACTTACAATATACAGATCACATATCTTAGAAATGTACATTTAAAATCATATAACATTTATCAATGTCACCCTAATAAAATTTAGTAGAAAATAAAAAGAGTGTGCTGATGAGAGGGTCACTAGCATTACTGAAAAAAAAAAAAAAAGAAAAAAAAAAGAAGTTAAGTTTGATGAATGAATATTGATTTTGTAATCAAATGTGACTTTTAAAAAATGTACTTAATAATACTCTGTTTAAAAGATTTAAGGAAAAATAAATAAAGTCGAGCTAGAATTTGACAATAGTTGTACAAGTTATTTAAACATAATATAGCTATGAAATTCTAATCCTTTAAACATATTTTCAATCCCCTCCAAAAGAATTGTTAGTTTTTAAGTGTTCCTCTAATTCAGTCAATTTTTAAAATGACATTTTGCTTAAAAATGATCTATTTCCTCAAGATTATAAAAATAATTATATGGAGTAAGATATAATTCTTATATGTAAATACAAGTTAAAATATCAAGTTTATGGATGTTCTTTTTCAGTTCTTATAAGCTCTTGCTCATCTCCAATAGAATGTACTTTTCTTATCTAAAGAAGAGCCCTTACAAACATTTTCCTGGAGACTTACTATAGCATCCTTTGGATTCTACACTCATAAAACCTTCCTCTTATAGTGTGCAATTAAGAAAATTTAGGATTTTGCTATATTTTGGTGGATGCGTGTTATAGCTGTAAGAAGTCCCAAATAAATATTTATGGGCAAAATGGGTGTCCTGACGCTGGACACATGCACAGTGGGAACTTTCCTAGCCTTCATTAGTGGTACTAGACACCACGTAAGCAGCCAGTCATGGGAGAAAGTCAAATGCCATGGGAGGATCTTGAAGAAACACCTCCAAGCACACACTTTGCTGCCTCTCTTGATAGTCCATTTTCTTATTTCAAAAGTTGTTTTTCAAAAGTGCATTTTCAAAAAGATGTGAATTGCTATGGCAAAAGGAGAGCACTTGTATTGTACTTTGCATGGTGAAAAAGTCCTAGTGTGTAAAAATTTTGCCTTTCGAGTCTGTTCCCATTTTGCAAACTGTCATCAAACTGTCAGTATGGCCATAAAATCAATAATGTCAATATGACTGAAGTGATCTGTGTTTTCTATTTTACAGGAACCTCAGCGACTTCTAGCTATCCAGAGGATGATGCTCACACTAACAGCTTTACTTTGAGAAAAATAAAAAAAAAAATCTGTGTTGTTAAATAAACAACAGTAAAAGCAATGACTAGGACAACAAAAAAGTTTATCTGAAAGCAAAAACCTTACTCTATAGTGACAGTTTCATAATCCTTAATGGTCACTTACTAATTAATCAAAAGTTCCATCTATGCAAATGTTTTGGCTCATTGAAATAGGCCAGCAATGTTAAAAGCATTTACTTCAAAAATATTTTGAAAACTCTTTGTAGCTCATCTCTGATTCTTTTATTTACTTATTATTTAATTACAGAAAAAATAGACTATTTTGTTAATTTCAATTCTTCATGTAAACCAGCGTTTTTCATGTTGCCTGGTGTGCCGTAGGTGCAGACAAGACAAGAATTTTATAATTTTTCACTATTTTGTTTACTTAATATTTCATAATAAAGTAATTATAAAATACTTTCTTTGTGTTTATTTGATTCCTATTCAAGAGAATTACTTTATATATAGTCAATATAGGCACAGAGTTAAATTTTTTAACATTTTCTAATGGTGGTGTGCCTCGTGATTTTTTTTCATGAAACAAGTGTGCCTTTGCCCAAAAAAGGTTGAAAAACACTGATGTAAACAATCAGACATTTGGGCAAATTGTCATGTGATTGTGAAATAGAACTATTAAAATTTCCCTGCTAGAACACAATACATGGCCTTAAATGCCTCTGTGAATTTAACAGAGAAGTTCTAATCTAAGAAAAAGTTAATGGGGCACGGGAATTTTAGTTTCTAAATGAATTTCAATCACCAACTGGAAAATTGCTTATAATGAGCCTTTGTGTTTTATTCAGAAAACCAGAAAATACTACATATAGAGAGAGGAAAGTCCCTGTCCATAATTGGGAAATTTTTCTAATAACTAAAATACATACCTCACAGGAAGGAGAGAAAGATTACCTTAATAAAGCCTAGTGATTTACTAGTGCATTAGTTTGCTTTGCTTTCCCTGATATAGAGAAGTGAGGGAGATAGAGAAGAGAGAAAAAGGGGAGAGGAGGGAAAAGAGCAGAGGAGAAGGGAGATGGAGGAACAAATGGATAAGAAGAAAGAAGAAAAGGGAGGAGGGAGAGTTGGAGGGAAGACATGGGGAAGAAGAAATGGGATAGAAGAGGAGAGGACTAAGGATAGGAGGAAATGAAGATGAGTAGGGGAAGGAAAGGAAGATAAGGGGAGGAAGAAGGAAAGAAAAATAAAGGGAAAGAAGTGGAGGGTAGAAGGGGGGAAGAAAAGGAGAGGGCAAAGAGCAGAGAAAGATAATTTCTGATGTGTGTGTTCTATTCTTTATATTTTTTTCCTGCCCATATATTGACTATTCTGCATTCCTCCGTTTCAGAATAGAAATTGCTTGATGAGAAAGTCAAGCCTGGCTTCTGAGAAAGCATATGTTATCTTATATTTCTTAACCTTAAGGAGAAGGCAAAGAGTGTTTGGGTGTGCAGGGTGGTAGGGTGGGGGGAAAAGAGAGGGAAGAGGGAAGAGAGAGGTAGAAAGGAAAAGAGAAAAGGAAGAGAACAGGCTGGCTCTAGAGTATTTTGCTTTGGGTGAAACATCTCAGAAAGGTTCATCACCCTCTTAAAGAAGAAAGGAAAGTCCTATTAATGACTCATTAAATTTTCTTCTACAAAAGTGAAAAGTGGTCTCCTAAAAAGTTTTTATGTAATTTAAAAAATGGATAATGTGAAATCTCCTATACACAATAGGGGAGGGAAAAAATTTTCCTCTAAATTTCTGAGTTCTTTGCTGGGATCCCTGTAATAAAGGATAGAGTAGCAAGAGAAAAACAAACAAAAAACAAAACAAAAAAAGAAAAAGAAAACTAGACATTTATTCACATCTATGTTTATTAACATGTAAAATCTGGAAAATGGACCTTGAAATAACTGACTCCGTTCTTTCCCCTTGCTCTCTATCTGAACCATAGGCATTCCATTTTATTCACATAAGTTTTGTAAGAACTGCCTTTCAGGGTTTCCCTATGAAGCACAAGATGGTCCATTGTTACTTCCAGGATATAACTAAACCAGATAATTAACTATGCTATTTCTAGCTTCTGTAAATATGCTTGCTTGGATAATGAGAAAGTAAGTGGGGGGGAGGGAGCTGGAAATCTGAGCCTGTGATGGAAAGCTGGGGTACATCCTTATTGGTCTATGGTCTGGTCACTGCTCCCTCTTAAATTGTCTATCTTGCAGGACCTGTTTGCATAAGCCCTGTTCCCATATTAGGAAGGCCATAACTATAACACCCCCAGAGGAACTGTCAGGGTTGGCGCCAGGCCAGGCCTTGAGATAGGGTCTCACAGCTCCAATCCCAGAGGTTGTTTTGTTGTTGTTGTTGTTGTTGTTGTTGTTTTGTGTTGTTTTTTCCCCCCTCTTTTTGCCTTTATAAGCTTATCCTTAACTTCATTTTGGGACCGAGAGGTTTGGAATGGCAATAGTCCTTTGAGGACGCCGCCATCAGCTTTTAAAATAAAGGCTCCAAAATCCAACCCCCTGGCTGTGGCGTCTTCTATTGGACTCACTGAATTTCAGTATAACACATCCATCACGTATATATAGGAGATACCCAGGAAAAATGAGTAACTCACCAAGGTGGCTTAGAATTCAGGCTTGAGTCCCATCTTCAGAGGGAAAGGAGAGGGGTGAAGACCTCTTCGGGAGAGCAAATGATTTTTAGAAAAGACAAACCGGCCCTGAAGAATACATGACGTTTGTGACAAAGTTTGACTTGGTGTGGTGTCCACTTAGAGTCTTTTCTTGATAAGAGTCAATTTTTCCTTATAGATGAAACTCCCAGAGAGGGGACTTAGGACAACTGGATTCTTTTGAAGGGCCTGTCTTGAGGCAGCTAAGGGGAGTTCAGACACAGTCTCTCCCTGCATTTGCTATTTTTCCAGTACCTACAATTCAAAATAATCCTAAAGCAGCATATTTTCGGATGGCAAGGCCTAAATTCCTAGTCATATTTGGTATATTCTGCTACCCTTCAGCACCCAAGTGTAAGGACACAGCTTTTTATTAGTCTTTCCCCAACTGGCCTCTGAGGTTGCAATTTTCTTCCACTTTTACAAAACTCTTTTAATCATGGGACCTGAATTGGCCACCAAGCTTCATCCATTTTTAATTATGGAACATTCAGAAATAGAGTCTCACAGTTGTTTCTATTTGTAGCCTTGGAGTCTTAACAAAAATATTTTGCTACACTAAATTTAATTTGGTTAATAATACAGCAAATGTCCATTGAAGTCTTTCCGAGGCCAGGCACTGGCCTAGCTATAGTGGATAAGCCCTGAACAATAAGGATGAGATTTACAATTTAAAAAACCTAGTTGGTCCGAAGGTTGTGGGTTATTGTTAAGCTGATTAAAAAACCTATTGTACCCAGTCAGTGTGACTCAGCAGTTGAGCCTCAAACCAGGAACAAAGAGCTCACTGGTTTAATTCCCTGGTCAGGGCCACATGCCTGGGTTGTGAGCTGGATTCCGGATTGGGGTTTGTGCGGGAGGCAGCTGATCAATGATGTTCCTCTCTTATTGAAGTTTCTATTCTCTATCCTTTTCCCTTCCTCTCTCTTAAAAAATCAATTAAAAAACATATTTTAAAATTACCCTTTTCGGAGAACACAGCTTCCCTTAAAACCCTGATCATTAATTTTGATGGAAGGAACTGAATCTTAAAATAATAATAATAATAATAATAATAATAATTCAACAAATATTTATTTAGCTTCATTTGTTACAGAGAACCGGAATAATCAAACAATGCCAGAGAGTTTGGAGTCACACTTTATTCACTGCGGTGGGCTTAGAGAAAATGAATTCAAATTCTAAGCAAAGCTATAAGCAGAGCGTCCCTTTTTATTAAAGAGCCAGCTCTATGTGTGCTTAATGGTTATCTCACTGCTGGCCTTGAAAACAACACAGTTCTATCCAGTTAAAAAATGCACGTGGCATGGCATTAAGAGTATGGGCATATCTAGTCTCTGGCCTACAAGGTCAGATAGCTAAGTTTATCTTCCTCATTATTCAAGCAGGCTAACGCAGGCTAGAAAGCAAAGTTATCTTTTTAGAATAAGAGTCCATCTAAAACAACAGCAGAGAATTCCAAACATTAGTTTTACAAAATAGGGGTTAGCCTTCTCACATTCATGGTCAAGGCTTTGAGGGGAATAAAATCAGTCACCACCTCTCAGAAACATACGTTATACACAAGATGATATAGGTGGAAATTAGCATACAAGTCTGAATTGGTACAAATATTTATCCTGGTGATCACTGGAACGGTGGCCTGAGCTGTTTTCCCCGGGGTTGTGTCTCAGGAGGCTGAAAAATGAGCTCCACGGACCAGAAGATTTGAGCCAGAGTTGGAAAATGTATTACGAGAAGATACAGACTCCCCTCAGGGGGCCAATAACGGCTGCCCACTAAAGCCTTGCAGTCCAGGGATATATATTTGCTACAAGCCTGTGTCTACCTGTGTCGTCACCTGATTGACTCCCTCAATTGTTCTTGCCCAGCAACGAATCTGAACTTGCCCTGCTTCTATGAGTTCTTTCTCTGTCCCTGTGGTAAACCTTCTGTTTCTATGCGTTCATACACCTTGTTGCCACAGGCCCTCCCTTGGTTTCCCGTGCCTCCCGCTTTGAGTCCAGAAACATTTTATTATTCCTGCTTGGTTGGTTTCTGTGGTTAGGCTGCTCAGACTACCCTGTCTGCCCTACCTATGTGCCACCTGCCTTTGCTTCCCACTGTGCCCCTGCCCTTTCTGCCTCTCACTGGAAATATGCTTTTTCTTCTTATTTCCAAATGAATGAATGAATGAATGAATGAATGCAAGCTCACTCTCTCCTTTTTTTTTTTTTTTCTTTTTTCTGTCTACAGCTGGCCACACAGTGGAATCTGTTTTCATCTTTCCCCTCATGACTTGCTATCTCACAATAGCTTTCTATTTTTAGGAGTTTATGTTATTCTTACAGAGTTTGCTCAACATTATATCACTGGCATTTAGTTTTGTACCTAGTTCAAAGAATGTAATGAGCCCTAGGGGGTTTCGCTCAGTGGATAAAGTATCAGCCTGCAGACTGAAGGGTTCTGAGTTAAATTCCAGTCAAGGGCAGGTACCTTGGTTACAGGCTCAATCCTGGTCCTGATCCAGGCATGTGCAGGAGGCAAACAATTAATGTGTCTCTCTTACACTGATGCTTCTCTCTTTCTGTCTCTCCCCCTCCCACTTTCTCTAAAAAGCAATGGAAATATATCCTCAGGTGAGGATTAACAAAATAAAAATAAAATAAAAAGAACATAATTAACATTTTCTTTTTATAATTTATGAAGGTAACAAATTTTAAAAAAAATACAATATAAGAAATAGCACTAAGCCTAGAACTCCAGCAAGTTATTTTAAAGTGACCATATTAAATAATATTTTTCAAGATAATATTCTGATGGAATGGTTTTTAACACCATTATCAAAAGATTTTAGAAGAAACAATGTGAAAGCAAGAACTTATTATGTAGATCTCATATCCATAGTCAGTAATGAAGGAGTGTAGTTCTCCTACTAATAATGACAGCTCCATCTGAAGCATCCATCTATATAGAAACTGCTGTTTGAAATTTTAACCCTGCTATTTGGCTTCTGTAAATGCTTGCTTGCTTAAACAATAAGGAAAATAAGACTACTCCTACTTCGAGAGGCCATTAAACCTTCCCCAGATGAAATTATCAGTACTGGCACCTTTGGTTGAGGCCTCAAGGCCCCAGCACATAGGGGCCCTTTTAAGACCTTGCAAAGAGGGCCAGAAACACCCCATACTTGGGAGTCAAAGAAGGTAAAAACATATAAGTAGGGAAAATCCCTCCATGTTGGGGCCCAGAATTTGAGAGACATTTTCCTCTGAACCTGCTTGTAATAAATGTAACTCCATCTCTCTAAGTATTTCTTAGTTCTTCTCTGGTTTTCTGTAACACTGCCTCAACCTCACTTCCTAGATATTGGCAAATCCTCCAAAGTTCTTGCATCATTATGAAGAAAAAGAAGGAGAAGAAGAAGAAAAAGAAGAAGAAGAAGAAGAAGAAGAAGAAGAAGAAGAAGAAGAAGAAGAAAAAGAGAAAAAAAGGCACACATTTTAAGACACCCTGACTAGATTTAAAGTTTTGAATTTTCAGTTTAATAAAATGAGGATCCTGTATTTACTCCAGAGGATTACTGTAAGAATAGGATTTATAAGATAAAACATTTTCTTCTTACTATTACATCTTATCTAACAAAAGAGTAATAGGCAAATTGACCATACGTCCACAACACCCACGAGCCATGCCCAGGAACCGTGCCCACCAGCCAATCAGAGTGAGCATGCAAATTAACCCCACCCAAAATGGCTGCATCCACAAAGAGCAGGAGAGAGGCTTGGATTTCCCAGTCAATGGAAGAAGCCAAGCTTTCCACCTGCCCTAGCAGGCTTAGGCGTCCACTCCAGGCTACAAAATTTCAATTATAGAAGGTAAACAAATCCAAACAGAAATGATGACAGCCACAGAGCAAGCCTTCTGCTTGGCTCCACTCCAGGCTACAAAGTTTCAATTGTAGAAGATAAATAAATACCAGATACCAGGACCTCTGCTGGGGTTGCCAGGGGGGCGTGGCCAGCCTGCAAACCACCACAGGCCCCTAACCCAGGCCACCCCTTGCCCCAAGGGAACCCCCACCCTGATCCAGGACACCCTTTAGGGCAAACCAGCTGGTACCCACTCATGTACCAGGCCTCTATCCTATCTAATAAATGAGTAATATGCAGATTGACCATCACTTCAACACACAATATGGCTGCCCCCATGTGGACACAAGATGGCCACCACAAGATGGCCATCAGGGGAGGGCGGTTGGGAGGGACCAGGCCTGCAAGGGAGGGCAGTTGGGGGTGATCAACCCTGCAGGGGAGGGCAGTTAAGGGTGACCAGGCAGGTAAAGGAGGAAAGTTGGGGGGAAATGGGTTGGCAGGGGAGCAGTTAAACATCAATCAGGCTGGCATAGGAATGGCTATGGGGTGATCAGGCTGGCAGGCAGAAGCAGTTAGGGGCAATCAGGAAGGCAGGCAGGTGAGCAGTTGGGAGCCAGCAGTCCTGGATTGTGAGAGGGATATCTGACTGCCCAATGGGATCAGGCCTAAACGGGCAGTTGGACAACCCAGGAGGGTTTGAGATTGGAGAGGGTGCAGGCTGGGCTGAGGGACACCACCACCCCTGCACCCACATACAAGAATTTGGTGCACCAGACCTCTAGTTACTTATATTAGAGTAATTGCCTGTGGGCCTGGCCAGTGTGGCTTACTTGTTTTGGAGCTTCCTCCTGAAACAGGAATTTTTAGGGGTGAAATTTTAAAAACTGTGGAGATTAAGGGGACCAGGGAGGAAGCACAGGACTGCAGAGCAACAGAAGGTATATTTCCATAGGATAGAAAAGCTAAAAAGCTGCAACAGGTACATTTCCGTAGAATGAGGGAGCTAGGAACAGCAAAAAGTCTATTCTTAAAAAATAAAGGGAAGGAAGCCCTTTATCCAGAAGGAAAAGAAGAAAACCCAGAGGGAATAGGAAAACAATAAGAAACGAGGGGGAGAGGGGAGAACTTCATGTGTACCATGTGAAGTTTGACCTTTGAGCCCAGGAGTTACTATAGTAAGCAGTCTAAGGGAATAGTGACCAATAAGAGGGGATATCAAGCCACCAGGATCTACAGCCTTTATAAGCCATAGGGAAAGGAAACCCAGTGGGACCCTTTCCCCCTCCCTACGCTAGAGTCCATTCTGGGGGACTCTTTCCCCCTCCCCATATGGGAGTCTGTACTTGTTCTTTAATAGATTTCCACCTTTGCTATACTGCCTTCTGACTGTGGATTCATTCTTCGACTCAGGCAGACAAAGTTCCAGTCTAGGGAAACACCACTGCGTGTTCCAATCCAAAAATTCTGCATCACTCCCGTACACCAGGCGGTGGCTGGTTTGATTCCTTCAGGGCCTAGTTTCCTGGTCTGATTCCTGGTTCCAGGCCTGCAGGAGGCAGGCCATGTCTCTCTCTCTCTCTCTCTCTCTCTCTCTCTCTCTCTCTCTCTCTCTCTCTCTCTCTCTCTCTCTCTCTCAAAAATCAATTTTAAAAAGTTCCACGTGTTTTATCTTCTTCGTTTAGAGTTGGGAGGGCAGCCAGCACTTTCGGTCTAGTTAATTAAAAAAAAAAAAAAATGAAGAAGTGCCATTTATTGTCTTACCTGTCGCGGTACCCTGGCTCTATATAGATTGGTAATATTGTGAGGAAAGATGCTTTCATGTGGCCTTTTGTAAAGTGTGGAACTAAGCCTTAGCATGAGTTAGCTGAATTGTCCAGAGTTCTAGAGCAAACATCGGATATATATGACTGAATCAAAAAAAGCCTTACCTGGTGTGTTGTAGGATCTCAAGAAGGCTTAGGTGTACAAACGTGATTCAATTATTCAGTTTACATCCTATCTTTGGTCTTACTTCTGAAACTCTTTGATCTTGGTTTTTATACCTAAAAGGGCATTCATCAAAAGATCTAAGTTTCTTAGGCAACTTTTGCAGCCGGATAATCAATGGGTCTGTGCGGCCTATCACTACGTGGGCCAATTAAGTACCGGTAAACGGGGTTGAGTCCTATAGGAGCGGTTACTCCAATACTGCTGGCGGTGTGGGAGAGCAGCAGGTCATCCACAAAAATCTGCTCTGCAGCCCCCCATGAGCCAGCTGCTTATATAGGGTGAGACAAGAATGACACGGGGAACCAGGGATTACAGGAATGGGGAAGTAGGCAATTCGAAGGGTGAGACCATATTTTTGGGCAACAATGTTGTTAATCTCCCCATGGTAATAGGCAGTTCTTAAACGAGAAAGGACCACAATTCAAAGATTGACTCCCAAGTCCAAGGGCATATAACTCGAAGGTTGACTCCCAGGTCCAAGGGCATATAACTCGAAAGTTGACTCCCAGGTCCAAGGGCATATAACTCGAAGGTTGACTCACTGGTCCTGAGGGCATATAACTCCCAGCCAGGTTAGAATGTCCTTTCTTTAGCAAACATAAGGCAATCATGGTTTAAAGGAGCATGATTAATGTATCCCATAACCATAGCTAGTCCCCAATATTCTGTTTCTGTCCCTAACACTTTCAACATGATTTGAAACTCTTTTTTCTCTTTGATTGTCTTGTTGACTATTCAGATTTATGATCTATGAGTTTCTAAACTATACACACACACACACACACACACACACACACACATCCTGGCAATAAAGCATATCTAGAACCTATTTTATTTATTTTTACTTTTTTTGTTTAAAGTATTATACATATGTCTCTTTTTTTCCCCCATTGACTTTCCCCTGAGCTCCCCTAACGCCTGGCACATGCCCTCACCCCACCCTCCCTGTGTCTTGTATCCATTGGTTGTGCTTATATGCATGCATACAAGTTCTTCAGTTGATCTCTTACCCCCACCCCTAGCAATCCCCAGCCTTCCTGCTATAATTTGACAGTCTGTTTGATGCTTCTCTGCCTCTGTTCACTAGGATATAATGTTCTTTATTATCCATAAATGAGTGAGATCATGAGGTATTTTTCTTTCACTGCCTGGCTTATAAAGCCTATTTTAAATGTTTGACTAAAATGTTTATCCATTAATTGTCAAATGCTGCCTTCAACATGAAAGCTCACCATGCATTTAACAGTGCGTTCCTGCCTCAAAAATCCAAGTTGCAGAGTTGGGAAAGAACTTTTCTCTAGTCCTTAATCTACCAAAGCCTAAAGCAAGGAAGGGATGCAAATTTTGGGGTTTGGCTCCTGAACAAACTCCTTGGTTCAGCTCACACCCAAACGAGGAAGTGCTTACTAGAATCTAAAGGGCAGAGCTGCTTAGTTGAAAGAGTCCGGGGCAGAGTTCCTAGTATTTGTAACAGAAAGCAAAAGCAGCATTTGCTTACGTTTTTGTCTGTGACTGGATATTTACAACCGCCTTAATGGGGTGGAACTAAAAATAAGCCCACAAATTCCCCACAAGGTGGAGTCTGACCAGAAGTGCCTTGAATTTCTCACCCTGCCATCTGGTCTAGAAGATTGTAAGGAACTCTTAAGAGCTTTGGTGTGTGTGTGTGTGTGTGTGTGTGTGTGTGTGTGTGTGTGTGTGTTTTAAAGGACACCAAGAGCTGTGAACAACCCCATCGGATTGCCGGTAAGTTTTGAGACATTGGTATACACTTTGTACACAAATATATATTCAGTGATTTTTCCAAAGGGATAGTTTCTCTGCTGAAATGTGGCAACCATACGTGGGTAAAAACTGCTGTTTGAATTTTAACCCTTCTAGTTTGGCTCTTGCACCTGATTAAACACGGGACAAAAAAAAAGCTATTTACCTTAGCTTTCAGGTGGAGACTTGGAGGCTAAGGCAATTTTCCCTTGCCTGGGACCAGGAGCACAGGAAAGTAATTCCCACTAACTCCGTAACCTTCAGAGATAGAAACTGTAGATAAGCTCTGAGCTCTGCATCTGTGTTATAGGCTATTGCAGGATAGGGCCACATTCCAATGTCTAGCAGGATGTGACTAGGAACAACCCTGCGGGCTGACCCCAGTCTTTAGAATGTAGTCTGTAAGATTTAGAATTTAGAACAAAGGAAAATTCCTGTGGTTTGAACCTTTAAAAGGGACTTCCTACCCCTGAAACGGTGCAGTCGTGTGAAGACCACCTGCGTGTGGTGCTCTCGCATCTGTCCTGGCCAGTTATTTCAATACATCTTTGCCCGCTTATTAATTAATCATCAGCCTCCAGTGGTCTTATTTTGAACCCAGGGTTCGACCCCACAACATGCTAGTATCCTTGTCATGATGCTTTAGAAGCTTCTTCTGCCAGTTCTTCTTTCCACACCCCCCTCCCCCCGCTCTAAATTATGTTCATATATAAGTAGTAGAATTCCCTGATGGCTGTTCCTTTAAAATTCCAGAGATCATTTTTACACTTCGTAAAATTTTGTGTCAAATGAAGAGATCTTTACCAATGTAGTGAAAAAGAATTTATGTCAATAATTCACTGAACTCATGAAAGATTATTACTTTTGATTAATTAAAATTACTCCTGTAGTTTCTTAAGCTTAAATGGCAAAATTAGATAAAAATTCATTCAATAAGCTGTAAATCCTTTGTTTTCTGGTAAGTTTGTAGTTGTCTTGTGGCACTTTAGTCATTAAATATTTATTTAGCGAAGTGAAAATGTCTTTCTTAAACAGGCTGCTTCCCCTTTCATTTTATGAAATATTTGCCTAAGAATAGAAAGTTTCTACATAGCAAGAAGGATTTTTAATTTGTATATTTTTCTTTCCTGCTTTTATTTTTTAAAAGGTGGGGTGTTATTTAGCAGTAAATTGGAGTAAATGCATTGATCTTATTAACATAAAGATCAGCATGTAATTAATATAATCTTAGCTATATAAAATATGCAGTTATGACAGAGTAATGTCATTCATTTCTCAAACAGTGATAGGGCTAAAGACTGTTGCTCTATGCACATATATTAAATAAGATTTCCCCTGAGGAGAACCTATGTAATACTTTCAACAATAAAAATTAAAAGAAAAAGAAACCCCACAAACAAATAAATACCTCATAGGCAGACAACAGTATAGTCATTACCAGGAGAAATGGGGGTTAGGACAGGCAGGAAGAGTAAAAGAAGAATAACTGGTGATAGAAAGAGACATGACTTGGGGTGGCGAGCACACAGTATGATAATAAGATGATGTATTGTAGAATTGTACATCTTAAACTTATATAATGTCATTAGTAACCCCAATCAATTCAATTTAAAATAAAAATAACATTTTCTTTCCCTCTTTCACAATGAAAAGCTACATGCTTTATAATTTGCTTAGCAGTTTCTAAACTTTGAACTCATATGTGCAATCTGTTCATTTCAGGCGTGATACCTGAAATTCTGTAAAGATTAACCACTGGGTGCTTATATCATCTAGTTAATTGTTTAACTTTAGACTCATGTGTGACTAGAAGATCCTGAGTTCCAAATTACATAAAAACAATTGTTATGATCATAAAATTTTTAGCTAAGAAGTTTTAACTGTCTGAATAAAATTGTGAAAATAAGATTTACAAAATTGCAGACACTAAGTTGAGGGTAAAGTGGCAATTTTCATCACAAAGTATTAATAGTGAAATATATTACAAGAATATGTTTTATCTTTTTATAAAGTATTTCACTACTTTTATTTTATCTTAATCATGATTCTCTGAAGAAAGTAATATTTAACTTAGTTTTATATAACATTGTAGCACAAAAAGGTTATGTGACTTGGTCTTGACCCATGGTTGGCAAACTGTGGCTCATGAGCCACATGCTGCTCTTTGGCCCCTTGAGTGTGGCTCTTCCACAAAATACCACAGCCTGGGCGAGTCTATTTTGAAGAAGTGGTGTTTGAAGAAGTTTAAGTTTTAAAAATTTGACTCTCAAGCCGAAACCGGTTTGGCTCAATGGATAGAGCTTGGGGACTGAGAGGTCCCAGGTTTGATTCCGGTCTAGGGCATGTACCTTGGTTGTGGGCATATCCCCGGTAGGGAGTATGCAAGAGGCAGCTGATCAATGACTCTCTCTCATCGATGTTTCTAGCTCTCTATCTCTCTCCCTTCCTCTCTGTACAAAATCAATAAAAATATATTTTAAAAAAATAAAAAATTTGACTCTCAAAAGAAATTTCAATCATTGTACTGTTGATATTTGGCTCTGTTGACTAATGAGTTTGCCGACCATTGCCCTAGACCATCTGTATATATCTCTACCTTCTTCATAAAATTAGTACTAAAAATACAAAACATAAGATCGGAGTTTTGTTTCATTTTAATTGAGTTTATTTCAAAATAACAGCATGCCAATTTATTTTCAAAGGTCAACTTAAAAAAAGCATAAAATTATGGTTTGCAAAGCACTCATTTTCTTGGCTGGTGGATTCTATGTAGAATTAAGCAACAGTTTTTATCTTATATAATAAAGGGGTAATATGCAAATTGACCCTAATACCAGAATGACCAGGAATGACCATCGATATCACTCATGCTGACCACCAGGGAGCAGACACTCAATGCAGAAGCTGCCTCCTGGTGGTTAGTGCACTCCCACAGAAGGAGCTCCATTCAGCCACAAGCCTGTGTGGCAGCTGCAAGCACATGGTAGTGGAGCTTCTCCACCTCCTTGGCAGCACTAATGAACCCTCAAAGCTGGCAGGTAGACATCGCCCAATGGCTCCCAGGCTGCCAGAGGAATGTCTGACTCCTAGGTTAGGCCCAATCCCTCAGGGAGTGGGCCTAAGCCAGCAGGTGGACATCCCCTGCAGAATCCTGGACTGTGAGAGGGCGCAGGCCAGGCTGAGGGACACCCAAGTGCACAGATTTATGTTCATTGGGATTCTAGTGAGTTAATAAATTGCTTCCTTGTAATAAGGGCACTGTGGTGTCATGGCACTGAATGTGAAGGTTGATTACAAAGAGTTGATGAAACCCTGGAAGTGCAGCTAAGTTGATTAGGACATCATCTCTATATGCCAAGGTTGTGGGTTTGATCCTTGGTTAGGGCACATGGAAGAGTCAACCAGTGAATACCTATTAATACCGATAAATAAGTAGAACAACAAATTAATGTTTCTCTCTATTTCTCTCTCTCTCTTTCTTCTCTCTGTCTCTCTAAAATCAATAAATAAAAACTTAAAAATCGTAGATGGATTAATATCCTGTGATGCTTATAGACTGAGTACAAGGCTAAAACAAGAAATAAAGGGAGATAAAGGGAATGGACTGAAGAAATAGTAAACAATAATAATAAATTAGGAAGCAAGAAGCATGTAAAAATAAAGAAAAAGATTCAAGTCCTCAGCCAGGAATTTTGCTCTGCATATCTCACCCACATGCCATGGTGCAGGCAGCTCCGATGACTCAGCTGCTCAGAAAAAGTGTGGTCCCACAGAGTAAGCTTCATTACCTTTCTGTTTCTGTTTCTGTTTCTGTTTTTGTTTCTATTCCAGAGTTTAGTCCTCAAATGGGGGAATGATACTGACCCCTCAGGATTATTACAAGGACTGAATAAAAAACAACTATAAAGAGGCTAATGAATAAATATTAATATTTTTTAATAAGGAAAGTTGAATTTTACTGGGATATGATGATAAAAAATAATCTGTATATAAATTTAGGAACTTCATTTAGAGTTTAAAGTTAGCCCCAATGAAGCCTCAAAATGCTGATTCTAAGAGAGTCCCAAATATAAGAAAAACTCCCTTGGAAGTGTTTCTGCATCTCATTGAAAGTGTTTCTCTATTCCCATGTAGTTGGAATAGGAGAAGAAAACCCTCTAGTAGCATGTAATCTGTCATATTAAATAATTCACCCAGCTATTTTGTGAATTCTTTTAAAAAAATATATTTTATTGATTTTCCACAGAGAGGAAGGAAGAGGGATAGAGAGCTAGAAACGTCAATGAGAGAGAAACATAGACCAGCTGCCTCCTGAACAACCCTGACCAGGGATGTGCCCACAACCAATGTACATGCCCTTGGCCAGAATCGAACCTGGGACCTCACAGTCCGCAGACCGACGCTCTATCCACTGAGCCAAACCGGTTTCGGCTATTTTGTGAATTCTTATTAAACTGCCAATTTAGAGGAAAAATCTAAATGGCACTGCTCAACAATGGGCTGACTATGAAGATAAAATTTAGTCTCTCTCCCCCATCCCCCTACCTCCTTCGACGGTAGAATACAGTTCAGTAAGTAGACCAGCAACTAAATCAAGCCGCCCTAAATAATGGGTTTATAGTAACACACACTTGATCCTAAGGCAGAAAACAGTTCATGGGGTTTTCAGAACAGCAAGGCAGGCAGCCTCCCAGGCCTTCCACATGCTTTGCTGCATGAAAGGATTCAATGAGTGTCTAGACTAACTTATCCTGTCACCCTCTCAGGAACAAAAGCTGTTCCATCGCCAACTATATTTTAACAGATTCTTACTGTTGGAATCACTTCCTGCTTTAACAATCAGTGGTTCTGTCTGACTCTCAAAAATGAGTCACCCATGACAATTCTCCTTCTATGCTCTACCACTTTATTGCTTCTCTCTGTGATTCTTTTAAATTTTGCTCCTGTTTCTAACTGACTGAAGAACTGTATCTCACAGCTCATTCCTGAATGAATTTGATTACATGCTCAGCTAAACACCGTCATGATTGTTTGGCCAGAGCTTTCATAGCCAATTATTCACAGGCCATTGACAAAACCATTGTCTTTAGTGGGTCAAGTGTCCAGGAGAGGTCTAATTAATGATGACCAGGCAGCTGATAACATCAAGTGGCAGGATTAGTAGTCATCTCTACCCAGAAAGCAGCTTCTTTCATCAGAAAAAAATATAGGTAGAGACCCATTTAGAATCAAGTTGTCAGCATGACGATCTTTCCCATCCACATACATATCTAAATAAATACAGTACCAGAAGAATGCATTGTTTATTACTAGATGTGTGCTCATACGTTGTATAGGTGTTCAGAGAAGGAAAGACTATTTTAGCTGAGACACCATGGCAGTCCTCAAGAAAAAGTCACATTTGAGCTAGAACATTGAATCATGACTAGGATCTGAAGATGTACAAGGCGAAGTGGAACATTTTGGGGAAAGGGAGTGGCATAAGAAAAATCACAGAGAGGAAATTTTATGAAGAGAACAAATAACTTACATGGTCAGATTTTGAAAGAACCATCAAGATCAATGGTGAAATTATTGGCTTTTCTTCAGAGCATGAACTGCAGCAACTGATAGGCATTACTGGTATCAAAACTAAAAACTATGCTCAGGTGAAGCTTAGTATCCTTGTCTGGGAACATAAAGGATGGCTCATCAGGATGGGCCATTGGCAGCTGAGAAAGGAAGAGGTCAAGTAAGCAGAAGAATGTAAGCTTAAGGATAGGAAGAAGGTTTGTTTTGCTGGCATTGTATAAACTCAGACATGTAATTCTTTACTGCCTAACTCTGTCTGTGTTGGAATAAGAGGAAGGAGATTGAAGAGTGGAAGAGAGATTATTAAATTAGTATTCTAGAGCCTTATCTATGTTTGTTTAGGTTGGTGCCTAGAAATTGTAGGTCTTAGGTACACTCTGTGAGTTGAAAAATATCAAACATGTGTCTTCTGATCCTATTTTCCCTCAAGCTTAAATAGTCAAGAGCTAGCTTGGTAATTGGATGGTCAGTATTTTTCTCAAATTTAACATGTTCTCAAAAGAACTCTGATTTCCCTCCTCACATGTTTCTTCCCTCGATATTTCTTTAGGAGTTTCTCCCAAAGCTTAAAGTTATCTGCTTTTCTTCTTTACCATAGATTTTCTAGATTTTTGTCTCCAAAATATATTAATAAATCCAGATACTTCTTAGTACCTTTCCCCTGGCCACATTTAAGCTATTGTCATAATCCCCTGAACTCTTAAAATTGCATTAATTTACCTCTCATTTAAATAATTCACCAGAGAGCAGAAAAGGTGATTTTTTATTTAATGCCAAATGATATCATACCATTTTTCTACTCAAGATATTCCAATGTTTTCCAATTAAACTGAGAAAAATAACTTTCTGGCTTTCCAAGTTCTTCATGACTAATTTCTACCAGTGTCTCTCTTATATTACAGATAGTCACTAATTTGGTTTGTTTTCCAGAAAATAAAAAAGAGCAAGCATTTATTGAGAGTACCATTGCCTAATTCAAACTTAAAACATCCCTAAGTGACTCCATTGCCTAATTCAAACTTAAAACATCCCTAAGTGACTATTAATTTTTGGGTTGATACATGAGAATCACTCAGGCACAGAATTTAATGCTGTTTGGGTAACAATATTATTTCTGAGGTTGGGAAGATGGAACTCTTAGTTTAAAACATAAGGTGTTTTACTCCCAGGGCTAATTTTCTGCAGAAAATTGTGGCGGCTTTACTATTTTTCATTTCTGTTTTCATTTTTAGAGAACAACTTGTAATGGATCCTTTACCTCATGAGTTACCAGCTGACACAGTGCGACGCGTGGCGTCTGAACTTCGATGTCTCCCTACCGATGAGAGGGTTGCCCTTCGTCTCGATGAGGAAGATAAGCTGAGGCACTTCAGGGAATATTTTCATATTCCCAAAATGCAGGACCTCCCTCCAAGTGAGAATACTAGAAAAAGTTTTATTTTCCTTAATCAATTTATTAATCTATTTTTATTATTGCATGTGTTTATCATAACTCTTCGAAAATCATTGTCCCATTATATAATAGAGCCATTGCAATTGTCTGAAAAACAGCAGGTTCCCAGTGCTACTGAATCAACTTGTCAGCCTACCCTCGCCTCAGATTCCTTATGTTTTCTCTTGTCCTCTGAACAAAATACTTGCAGGGTGCTTTTACTGTCATCTACTTCTCTGAACAATAGACTGATTGAATAGAAATTATAGGCAGATGCATTTACTTGTTCTCTAAGCACTTTGAGTGCAAAAGAATTCCTTTTCAGTATATTATTACAATATCTTTGATTTTATAACAACTAGTTTATACCTTAATAGTTGCCTTAGAGAAAATGTCATTTTGGGATTTGGTATATTAGGATGGATTTTATGTGTGAATAAGACTTACCAAACAAAAAAAATAAATAAATGATCAAGAAATCAAAAATTAAAAATAATGGAGTAAACTGACTCTGTCCTTGGTTAGGGAGATGTTCTGTTAAAAACAAAAACAAAAACAAAAAACAAAAAGAAACCACACAACAAAACACAGCCCACCCAGTGTAGCTCAGTGCTTGAGTGTTGACCTATGAATCAGGAGGTCACAGTTAGATTCCCATGCATAAGCCTGGGTTGCAGGTTCAGTTCTCAGTAGAAGGCCTGCAAGAGGCAGTTGATCAATAATTCTCTCTCATCACTGATGTTTCTACCTCTCCTCTCCTTTCCTTTCCTCTTTGAAATATATATATATATATATATATATTAAACAGCAACTAGGTAGCACAGGTATCGAAATATAAAGCAATTTTTTGTATTTGGCTTTGCTCCATTTTACTTCTATGAAAAAGTCTACTACCGGTAGGTTGAATGGAATTAATCCACCAAAGTTGGTTCCACACACTTTACAGTAGAGTCTAATTTCCTTTTTTTTTTTCTTGAGATTAAATGAGGCAGGTACAATTTTGGATATTCATAACCCAAGAGAATCAGCAGATATGATCTTAGGGTGAGATTGAGCCACATAGCTGTCTTTACTGGCTTCTTTGTTATTAGGTAACACAGGATGGCACCATGTAGAATTACAGGAGGATGAAATAAGAGAAAGCCTTATATCTAACAGCAATCAGTGCTCTAGAACTTTATGACACTTACTGAAAATTGTAATTTTCTCCCAATTAAATACAATTTATTTTACTCATTTTCATGAGTGACAAGAAAAACAGACACAACAAAATAAGTAAACAGAAGTAGTAACAAAAACCTTTCCAGTAAGGGTGGATGGTGGTATTACAGAGAGAAGGAAGAGCATGGCAGAAGCACTGAGGAGAGAAAGTGGTTCATTGTGCCTTCAGGTTGGGCTGAATTGTCTGGGAGAATGAAGGGCCACATCTAGTCACACACTTATGAGCGGTGACCTCTTCCTGGACACGAGAGGTGATGCAGTAAGGGGTGGGTGTCTTTGACTTTCTTTTCTTAGGAGGCCTTTTTTCTATTCAATAGCATAAGGATTTGAGGTAAGACCCAACCCTGAATTTCCAGGAATAAAAGCTTTTGAAAAAAAGGGGTATACATAAAGTTAAAATGATATGTTGGATTTTTTTTTTCTTTTTCTGTTACTGAAGCTAACACTTATTAACTAACACAATTTATATCCTCATGTTGATTTCAGAGAGGAAGAGCAAAGGGGAGAGAGAAAAACAGAGAGAGAGAAAAAGGGAAACATCAGGGATAAGAAAGAATCATTGATCAGATGCCTCCTACACGCCCCACAATGGGGATCACGAGCCCACAACCTGAGCATGTGCCCTGACCAGCAATTGAACCACGACCTCCTGGTTCATAAGTCAATGCTGGTTGGGCTGGGGATGATGTTTTAATAGAAGAAACCACCAAATCACAAAACTCAGCAGAATGTGATCCCACCTTTCTATGATAGATTTAAGTTCTATCAGATTGCATAAGGAGATATTTTCACACAATTTAAAAATCTTGTCCAAACTTTCAGATTAACACATAGATGTATTATACTCAAACCTGCAGAATGGACCTTAATTGCCATGGTGTTGCTGTCATTACTGACCCCGATTCTTGGCATTCAGGACTCATTCTCAGGAAAATATGGTATTAACATATTTTATAGCCATCCTACTTGAAGAATTACATTTTAAAAATGAAGATCTTGAAATTTGAACCATTTTATTTAGAACCAGCTATTAGCCAAAATGATATAATACACAAAGAATAAATAGAAAATGAACTTATATACACCATTTCTGGAATTCTAGCCATAATAACAATCTGATGGCAACTTATAATTAGCTTTGTTCCAAGAAAAATGTTTATCTTCTTAGATTTCAACCATCTGCCTTCAAGTCCCCAACTGCACAGAGTGACTTCTGTACAGAGATGATAACCACAATTCCAATAAGGATAACTACCGTATTTTTCGGACCATAAGACGCACTTTTTTCCCCCCAGAAGTGGGGAGAAAAAGTCCCTGCGTCTTATGGTCCAAATATAGCCTACACATATACTTTAAAAAAAAAAGTTTTTTTACTTGCCTGGCTCTGTGTGGTCTCTGTGTGCTTGCCCGGCTCTAAAATGGTTCTAAATGCTGCTGTTTACTTTACAGGGTTGATTACATGTGTTTATGACTGTGATGTTGGGTTTTAATGCACATAAAATATTTTAGGACACTATTTGTTTCAGAATCTTTTTTTCTTCATTTCCCTTCTCTAAAAACTGGTGCGTCTTATGGTCCGGTGTGTCTTATGGTCCGAAAAATATGGTAAGTCCTTGCATCCTTATTGCTATAAGACATAATATATTATTTGAAAATAAAATTTGAAGTATTAAATTAAAACTTAAATGAATAATTGAGAAAAAAATTTAAACTATTCGTTATTTAAAAAGTAGTTTTGAATGACACAAAAATTTGCATCACTACCCCCAAGAGTTTATAAAATTAGGCATTGTCAAAGCGTGTAGCCTCCTGACCAGCTGCCTGAGGATCACCAGAGAGTTTTCTAGAACTTGCAAGTTCTTGGGTCCCATCCCTGAATTACTAAATCAGAGGCTTTGACGGGAGTCCATTCTAGATCACTGAGGATGGTGTGATAGGTAGTTGGATCAATTAATTCTTACTCTAACTCTAGGGTGACTATTATTCTCTGAGGGTTCATCCTTTCAACACCTTTGTAGGCATTTCTCTGTCCTTGCAACTATTTTCAGGACAGTTTATCTGTGAACTAAAGAACACGGTTATCACGTGCCTGAAGTTTTGTTGAGGTATGAGGAGACAGATAATAAACACCCTTACAAACAGTAAGTAATGTACTTACTGTGAGTGTTTGGAGAGCAGCTGGGAGAAGTGTTATTTTACCAGGGTGGTCAGGGAAGGAAACACGGCAGAGATGGCAACTGAGCAGAGTGTGCCCCATGGGCACAGAGGTGAAGATGAGCTGGTGGCTACTCAAGTTTGTACTGCACAAGAGCATCAGACTCAAGGATGGTTGATGTTGAAATTTCTTTTTTGTCAAGATAAGACTACACCACCAGTAGCTTATTAAAACCATCTAAAAACATTTAAAACTGATATTGTATTTCAAACTATTGTAAAAGACTAGCATAATATCAAGAACAAATGTTCTTCAGGAACTCTGAATAATGAAAAAAAAAAAAGAACATAAATAAAAAAGTTTTGGGCAAGTGAAAGAATCACAACTCCCACCATAGGCTTTAGAAATTTACTAAGGAAACGCTATAGACATAGCCTGTAGTTTTCTGATATTTTGCCATTAAATATTAAGTTTACTGTAGATTTCTAATAGGAAGTTTTACCAAAATAAGTAAGTTTTTCTCTATTCCTGGAGGGTTTCTGAGTTGTTATTAGAGAAAAGGTAAACAATATTTTTACTCAGCTTGTGTTGGGCTTATGTTCAGCATTGTTCTGAAGACCACAGCCAAAACAGAGAAAGAGATTCTACACTGAGTGGCCAGATTATATGATCTCTGAACACATAATAATCTGGCCACTCAGTGTATAGCCTATATAATAAAAGGCTAAATATGCAAATTGTCCCTTTAACCAGGAATTCGACCAGCAGGCCAGCTGGCCAACTGCTCATGTCCCCTCCCTCTGGCCAAGCTGGCTGGACCACATCCATGTGCAAATCCATGCCATGCATGAATTCATGCACTGGGTCTCAAAAAATAAATAAATAAACAAACAAACAAACAAACAAATAAATATTAAAATTAAAATTAAAAAATATATATATATATATATAATATGAGTGGCCAGATTATTATGCATTCAGAGATTATAATAATCTGTCCACTCAGTGTATATTTCCAAGTCTATACTTAGTGTATAGAGCACATGTGTCAAACACAAGGCCCGAGGGCCAAATCCGTCCCGCCAGGCCTTGCAATGTGGCCCGCACCGCACTGTCATCACTGCACTCCGCTGCGTTTCCATCACAATGACAGTTTATGACTGTTCAGTAAACCATTCGGCCCGCGATTTAGGCTGGATTTTAGATTTTGGCCCCTTCTCTGATTGAGTTCGACACCCCTATATTGGTTGGCTTAAAAAATAATTGAATAGCTATCTTTACAAATTAATTTTGATAATACCATCCAGAGGTAGAAAAATAGCATGTATCTATAAAATACGTACATAGACACACGCAAGCATACAGATAGACACAGACATGAATCTTATAGTTAAAAAAAAATTTAGCTATGTCTCAAGTACAAAACTCAAAAGAATAGTTGGATCCAAATCGTGTTTCTGTCAGATAGACTATGTTAAGGTTATCTGCTCAAATGGCCAAAAATTTTTACTAAATATTTTTATTTTTTGCATGCTTTTAAAGCTATTTTGGGAGTCATTTTGTCTTTTAGGAGCTTTTTTATAACAAGCAAAAAAATGCATCATAT